CACAACTTTAACGGTATTGAAATATAAACTTATCGAATCAATTGGAAGTTCTTTCAATTGATTTGGTTTACCACTTTATCAGTGTTGAAAGAAAACTGCCCATGCGTACCAAGTCTCTAATTGGTTGAAATCCAACATACATCTTTTTTCATAAAATTAATTGTGTCTCTTAGATTTATACCTCATTTTAATCCAAGGTGAACTATAATTTATGAAGAATTAACATTTATTGTATTGATTCAGTATTTTTAACAGATCAATGAATGTATAATTTAAAAATTTCATTTTCACTATTGAAACATCTCAAATTTATTGACATTTTAATGGAAATGTTTATTATATGATTTTTTATAAAAATTTGTATTTTTAAAATAAAACTACTTTTACATTATGTTCATGGGCCTTACTAATCAGGAATGATATCTTAAGTCACGCAAATAATCAAGCTCTAGTTCTTGAAATATATTTTCATTCATATTTTAAAGATATGAAAGTAAAATCATCTTCGATATGAATGTTAGAAGATGAAAGTGACTGTCACGGATTATTTATTGTTCTTTCTTGGAAATAGAGGATATATAAGTGGAAAATTAAAATATCCAACAAAAAAGTAGTGTAGATAACATCATTCGATTTTAAGACTCGGAAGTAGTATATGGTAGGATATAAAAATTCTTTAGCAAGTGATTAAAATTTACGTAGACCACATAAATAAGCATAGTTAGGAAATAAGATCTTTTTGTCAGGCTAAAGATTTTCCTATCCACAGATCCAACATACATTTCAATCACTTAAATATATTTCATATATTCGAATGTGTACTCTTCTTGATAATAGAAATAAGAAAGGATTTCAGTAGTGAAAATAAATATGTTTTGAGTAAAATCTTACATTTAACATTTAATTTTGTTCTGCACTAGAAACTTTAATGCAGAAATGAGCGTAGGATATCAACGTTTTGCATGCTTTTAGTAGCATAATAACAACGCAAGAAAATGATCTTATACGGAGTATAAGTAAAAATTATAAAATATCAAGTAAGCACGGCATAATTTGTAACAGTTCGGGTATCCACGGTACGTGAGCACGCAAAGGGAGCAAGCAAGTATCCTATCAGCGGAAGTTTATGGCAAATTCGCTGATTCGTACCCTTCCCGTATCTGGGTTATCGACTATATTTCCTTCCTTCCTTTCTTCCTTTCATGTAGTTTCCATTCGACTTGCCACTTATAGTGCTAGTCCAGGTTACCTTTCGCTATTGTATTTCGCAACTCGCTTGTATTTTACATACCTACATTGTTTAAAATCTTTTCAGTAGACGTTCATAAAATTTTACGTAAATAATATCTCATATATTACGTTTTATTATAAATAATAAAATAAAATCAAGTAAATAGGCTTTTTGTGTCTTTCAAATAGTTATAAAGATGCTTTATTCTGTTGGATAAGTAAAGTATATAAACATTACTCCGCATTTATTCTATTAGTACAAAATAATGCTATGAATTCTTACATTCTTATTTTTTTCTTCTTTCGTATCGTTTGTTTTAAACTATGATATTATTTTCGTGTCATTTCGCCGCACATCGTTGGTGTATGATTTTATATATATATATATACGTGCACATCACCATATGTCGGATGCACATAGACATATTATGAGGTATGGAACCGCGGGAAAACGTGTTCTATTTCCTTTTTTCATGACGTTTGCTAGATGTCGATTAAAGTTTATGCGTTTTCTCAAGTGGCACGCCGGAGAATAATTCCGTATATAACGAGTGACACTTTATTGCGAATATTACAGATGTGAAATTTAATTCCTCGAGTGTCACTCGCACGTTCATTTGATACGAAAGATATACACTGAGCGTTGCGGTGTCATTTGTGGGCGCTCGTATATTCCGCTAGATTAGGTTTTACTGTGACAGTGAAAATGTTTATACAAATATTTGTTTCAGAATGGAAATTCCACGAAATGTAGTTAATATCGACTTAACTACTTATGAATGTCCTCTCTTTTTTCAACGATCTCATAACGTCAAATTATAAAAGAATAAAATTTTTGAATAGTGTTTAATTCAGATCGGAATAGGAATAGAAGTACAAGAGTATACAATGTAATTTTGTAACAAGTCGATACTAATTTCTAAAGGTGACAGAAATGGTAAAAAGGAAGTGAACCACAAGCGGCAAGAAAAAAAATAAAAATGAAGCTGCATGAGGTAGAGGGAGAATACTAGTTTCATAAAAGATCACAAAAAGTGTATTCATCAATCAATGCCTACGAGTTCACGTTAAGATGGCGTGTTGCTGCCTCTCGGTTCTCTGATGTAATTTGCCGTTTCGTTGATGATGGTACTACAACACAGTCGCGTTATTCCCCGAGCTATACTTAATTGTGGGTTGTGTCGGCCACCCTGACTTTTATGATATATTACGGTTATGATCGTACTACGAATGCCGTGTGTAAACCTCGCGCTCGCTTCATAGATCTATCTATCCAATAATATTTAACATACCCATACTACAATAATCCCTGCAAAGAATATACGTCTTTGAAATTATAAAAGTTAATTTTTCACCAGATTTTTGTTGTATTCGTTCTTTTTTTCTTATTGAGAATTGTGTATGAAATTTCACTTCACCATCGAAATACAATCTTTAAAATCAGAAAGACAGAAGAAAGTAAAAATCTTGAATATGACTGAATTATTGTGGCTCAGAAAATTCAATTCTTAGATTGAAAATAATTATGAAAACGATAAACTGTTTTTAAATTCTCCGATCTATAGCCTTATTGAGATTCCTGTATGAACAGATATAAATAGAAAAAATATAATATATTGCAAATGTTTATTTCAAAATAACAAGTGCGTTAATGTGCGGGTAACAGGTGTGACGTTGTAAACATTTAAAATTTTGGATTTTATTTTAAAATATTCAATATTATAACGAAAAATAAAATTAAAAATATTATTTTTACTGAAATAACAGACGTTAATATGACTGAGCTAGATATTCGAGTAGGAATTTCATAAATTTAATACTCGTAAATATAGATAATAAGAAATAAATTGGTTTACATTAGTTGAAAAAAACAAAAATAATTTAATATACTTCAAAGCTTTGAATACAAGCTATAGATCATACTGTATATTGCGTTAGTATCTCAGACCTGCAAAATGAGATCGTATCGTTAAAAAAACGAGCTTCAGGAAGTTAACTGTATCATCTCACGCAACAACTAAAGCAGTTTTAACAATTTTCAGTTACGATTCGTAGTTTACTTTTCGTAAGTACATCATTCTCACATTAAGGACATGAAAATCACGCGTTATACGATATATATATTGTACAATATACTCGCATATAAATTTTGAGTTCAGAACTCGAACTAAACAATAATCGTATTGAAGTTTTAGAAATGAACTTTTGCTCTAGTAAAACTTGAAAAAGATACAACTTCGAAGCAATGTTAATGTAACAGTACATTTAAAATGAAATTGTAGCGATGGATATTGATATAAGCGCTTAACTTATTGCGATGGAAAATAAGTATAACCCAGCCTTATCGTTGGAATACACAGAAATTATTTGAATATGTATAAAATCAGTAGTGTGTAGAAAGAATATCAGTAGTATATAATGTTGCAAGTCATACTCAAGATTTGGAATTACAACGTAGAATCCGTAACTCCTTAGAGTTAGAACTCTTGTGTTGGTGCTCCAGAAATGGATCTCTAACGCTGGAATTCCATGGTTGGAGATCTGCAGATTCAATGCTATAGGTCTGCAACGATGCAGTTACAGTGCTTTTCGTCACTATATATCTAAGTAAGAGTGGTAAAATAGCTAAAATGCTATAGTGAATGAAAAATTATTCGGTTCTGGTCCTCAAAAATGGACATTTTTTTAATAGAAATAAGTAACCGTATACGCAAGGTAATATTTGCGTGTTATTTTTAACATGCGATTTAAGGCATCAATCCAAATGGTAGATTCGTCTAGATCTTGGTATATAAGTACTACAGCTGAGATTTATTGTCGTTTTTTCTGACTTGTGAAAAATTTTTCATAGCGCAGTCTCAAGTTAAGTATGGTATCGCGAGGGCAAATGCATTAGGGGTAACGTGTTTTAGAGAAGAACTGAGTTAAGAAAAAGTGCATGAAGATAGCCGCAGAAGTAGCGGTGGTAGTGTGTAAAAAAAAGAAGAAAAAAATTACTCAATTCCGAGAAAGAAAGAGAAAGCTCGGCGAAGAAGGAAACTAAGAAAGATTTAAGGACGAATGAAAGCAGGTCAGCAGCTAGTCAGACAGCAACACAATGCCACGGATAAAACAAGAACAAAGATGACAAGGACAAGTGCAGAGCTGAGATTTCAAGTAACGTATATATACATGCTTCCTAATTCGAGTGCTTAATTGTTCCGTCGTCTAGACTTTGTCAATTAGATATTACTTCTTAAGCGTAAATTGATATTATTATCACGCAATAAACTGGTAAAATATAAAATCTTGAAACATTGTTTCATGCCCAAACAAATTACCAATCAATAATGAAGGTTAAAAACAATATTAAAAAATTATGTGCAAGTAGTTCGAAAGGCGCAATGATCATTAATCAAAGCAGAAAGCGATACAGTTTTGTGATCTATTTGTTATCGGGCGTAGTTACTCACTTTAATTCTTCGTCATTACAGCAAAACTGCGCAATTCTTCAGAGTCGAGGTAGAGAGAGTACATTTGTTACAGGTTATTTCTCTGCGTTTAGCCAACGATTCTTCAAATCTCAACGTACATAGAGAGAAAGCGCGGCAGCTCCCAAACTATATTTGCCGCAACAGCACGCATGCACGAGGAAAGGAGGGAGGCCAGAGGGATAGAATTGTAGCGCAGACTCGGAGTCAAATAGAGACTGTGGGTGGGGAGGAGTGGAAAAGTGAGCTCTCTCTCTCGCTCTGGCTGAGGTTGGGGCTGGGACAGGAGTGTGTCGCAGTCTCCGCCGGTCCGCCGCGCTCGTGTTGTGTCTCGGCACACACTGACCTTTACTACTTGTACGTGTTAATTTTAGCGAACGGTATATATGGTTAACCGAGTCTCGTTTGTAGAGGCCTGAGTGTACAATTTTATGACATGGGTTTACTGCTACATTTCTCTTGGGATTGTCCGTGTACCCTACGATGTAGGCCTTTCAGTACAGTTTCGTTGAATTTCTTATTTCTTTTGGATACAAGTTGACTTTGACATCGCATTTGATTGCGAGTGCGTGAGTGTTTAACTTTCGACATTTATTGGCCCGCTGTAAAAAAATAATAGAAGTGTGTGCTCTGACGTAATATTGTGATTTTGAAGAGTTCAAGTCTATATTGAACAATGAGTTACCAAGTTTGGAAAACTATGTATCACACTGTCCAAATACTACTTTTGATTTTTAATTATCTTACAGGTTCGTATGATTTCATTTCCTTCCTAATTCTTGATTATGATTTCTGTAATTGAATCGAACTGAATTTCCCATAATTGAAGTGAACGAAATTGAATTATTTGAGATTATATATCAGATTTTCATATACTTTGCTGCGTTATCTCTCTGTTTGCTTGAACAATTGATACTTAAAAGCTACATAAAACCAACACTACAATTTTTAGAGATATCGTTAGTTATAGTAATTATTCTCATTTTATTTATCAATAATTACAATTGATTCTACTAATAAATGTACAAAATTCTTTTCTATGTTCACTATCAATCAGCCTGTCATATCTTTTTGTAAATCTCTTCAATACCGAGTTAGAGTTTCTTCACATATCATCTTTAATAGAGACTGGAAATAATAAATTAATTTGTGATACGCAGCTCAGTGATAACAGTCATAGACCTACTAATGTTATTGTTATTATTTAATTGTATATGTATTTAAATACGGCTTCAGCATTAAATTGACTTAAACAAAGTTTAAATAAGTGTATTACTACGTGAAAGGATAAGCATTGAACAGTCATCGTGTAATGAATCGGGGAATTCAGACTATCAATCATATACAGTGACATCATTGTACACGTAACTTTTATCAAAGGCATGTGTATGGCATACATATTTATAGCAATTTTACGATATTAGTACGGAAAGGAAGTAATAAGTATATAAGAGCGAACGTGAAATTCATACAAAATAATTGATGAAAGTTCTTATCGTAATATCGACGTGTAACGTTTGAGCAAATGACTATAACAAGGTCTTATATTAATATAGGGCTAATAAGCTAATAAAATTAAGTATTACGAATATTTCGATAGATATTTTTCTTATCTAGTTTCATCGTTTCATTGAAAGCACGACAATCTTATCCCATCCCTTTGACTTGTTAGTTCTCGTTCATTGGATTCTAGAAGTTTCAAACTATTCATAAACTAGTTATATCGTTATCGCATTTTATCATTCCAAATAGATACTCAAACATTCACTTCACAATCGAACAAATCACACGCTCGTAAGAACTCACATTACATATTCTGCCCGCCTTTTTGCTTACTCATAGACACATTGAAATTACACATGTTCGATTAGACTCGCGATTAGTTGTCGCGTAAATTCAACTATTGAGATAACACAATGTAGGGTTATTTGAAAGGCAGACGCTCAGAGCTTAAGGTTTAGACGCGGTCTCGAAAGTCGATAGTTGATGCTTGTGGCCACTCGCTTCTCAACTTTATCTCCTCCTTGGACGGCACTGGTTTTCTGTAGCTCTGTATTGTACATAAGTAAGCTTTTGAGTCTCTGTTATCGTATTGATAGTTTGAGCTTTTTTCTTATCTGTTTTTACACGCTGGATACATTTCCGCGCTGTTTCGACATTTTTGATTATAACGTGTGATTTTTAGTCGCAGCTATTGATGTAAAGTTAATTATTTGTTTGTGTGTGTTTTTTAAATCTATGTATTTACTTTCAAAAACAATCTCGATGTATTGCATCATAAAGTAATACTTTATCTGGATTCTCAATATGAATTATTGAGCAATAATACAGGTAGATAACTTACTATTGAATATTTTGGAATTTATTTACTGAAACCCCACATAAGTCAAATTTTTAAACAGTAAGGAAATAAAAACGTAGTTTATATTACATGACTGAAACTTCATGGAAAATTCATTAGAAGAGTAGAAAAAGCAAATCTCCGTTTTCAGATTACAATTTAACAAATATTAAATTGGAATATTACCATTTACAGAATGTAATCATGCGTGTTGAATATTATTTGGCATAAATGGTATTTGCACGAAAATTCTGATTTTCCAACTGCTTTGTTGTTCATTTGTGCTTTTCTTCTTGAACAGATGTAATAAAGAGACTAACCGTTTTATATCTTTTTCAAACAAAAAAAATAGAATATAGATTAATTGAAACAGTTAGCTATTCAGATACAGACAGATACAGATTGCTAAGTAAAAAAGAATAGAAATTATGCTATATGCTTCTCAACATACCGAAGGCCATTTATACGGAGGTAGTTTTACAGTCTCAATAAAGCTTGGTTTTTGTTTTAGAACGGTCAGCACCATTAGTGCTATTATTCGCAAGTGCTGGCTGTAAAAGCAGAACGAGAGAGGATCCATTTAGCCTGGTTCGTCGCGTTTGGCGGCGACTGGCACTGGTCAAATCGAGTAAAGGCGCTAGTAAGTTTTGCTTGTGTTCGCAGGTATAGAAGCTCTTCGCATGACAGCTCTGAAAATTCCACAGCACGTAGTGCAGAATCAAACGGTGCGGATGGAGTGCAATTTCAACCTGGACCGGGAAACTCTCTACTCGGTCAAGTGGTACAAGGATGGACATGAGTTTTATCGCTACGTGCCCAAAGAACATCCAGCCGTACAAGTCTTTCCTTTACCTGGGGTCAACGTCGACGTGAGTGTTCTTTCCCTGCCACTTACAATCCTTTTTTTCTCATGTCTACTTGTAATCATACGCTGTAAAAGATTTTATACGTGAACAGCCTTTCTGAAAAAATTTCGCACGATTTATTACTCATCAGACATTAAACCTTTTTCTTTCTCGAATCCAATTTACAGTGTAGGTAGGAGAAGGCGTTGGGAGACAAATTAGAGAAGAACAGCATCAAACATAGGCTTTTCAAATTCGTACTTCAGTTAAATGCAAAAGCCACTCAAAAAAATATTTGCAGATAGTAACAATTACCTAGGCGGATTTGCACTCTAAAAATCAATTAAATGGAGTCATGATTATTGCTTATGATGACATTTTTTTTACTTGAATTCAGCTATTATTTGTTGAAAAGATGGAATAGGTTGCTTAATCCTAATAAGGATTTAAGATACTTCCTTTAAACGAGTAAGAAATAATATAAGTGACGTTACCAAAAATTGCAAAACCTCTTTCTGTATTGAATCTTTTGAATAACTATTTCTTTCTTCCAATATTAATTTACTTCGAAATGAATTGCTCGTTGCATAGGTTATATAGCTTCCATATGTTAATATATAGCTTCAACGAAACACGAGCATTTAAATAGATTAACCAATAGGTACACTAGGAAGATGAATTGAAGATTATTTTTTATGACACAGCTTAAATTTCCTCATTATATATGATTCACATTTTGAAATAGTTCACTTAAACTCGTTTATTGGATTAAATTGAAAAATATAAATTAAATTAAAAATAAAATTTAAAAATATACTATTTTAAATCAATCATAATTCAGTTAATTTGAAATAATATTTTTATTTAAATTAAGATGGATTTTATATACTTCCTATGATGTTACTAGTATGTAATATTCAAATAAAAAAATTGCTCGAATATTTAATCACAAGATATTATAATTCTTCAAGATATTACTATTACGTTTGAAGGATACTTTGAGGCAGATAAAACAGAATAATCATAACTTTGAAAACACTTTATAAATGATTACATTACAGTAGTAGAAATAATGTAGCTTCATATATTAAATGTAAATCGCGAGCGAGAAACTCCTGAATACAAATAGAGTTATTAAAGATAAAAATAGTAATGGCCTACACGCGTTTTTCTTGTATAAATGCACTTAGGCGTTAGCTGCAACGCAAAGAGGAAAACACGCTAAAGGGGGACGAGAGTTGGTACTTGAAGATAGGAATATTGCTCAAATAAATAATATTTGTTTAGCATTTCCGAGAAATGGCTTCACGAAGAAAAATGAAGCTGCGGTTACTCAGTTGCACGAATGATTTTTATCTTCATACATGCGTGACCGACTTTTTTCCCTTTTTTTCAATCGACCCTTTAATGCCTTCAGGGATTCGTTCTTTTTTCGCCCAGCTTAAAAACGAAAAGCAAAACAAAAATGAAGAAGATAAGAGGCCAAAAGGGGCGGAGAAATACTGTTGGAATGCTATTGGGAAATCATTTCACTCTTATACACGTGTAGATACCCTTCTGGCGCCCTGTTTAATATTAACGAAAGCTTTCGTACCTCGAGGCCAGGTATACATATAATATATGTTGTCAAAGAATTATATCACTGAAGGAACATGCTTATCGGCGCCTCACTGATACAGAGAAGATCATTTTTATTACTAAAAATAGGATAAATATCTTGATTGATCAGTGAATCGCATTACTATTGAGACTATGATAATCTAATAATAAAGTTTAATTTTGATCCGCTGCATCAAACACAGAACCGAGATAAAGTAAGAAAAATTTTGAAAATTAACTGAAGTCGACCACAAAACTTTATCTGCATTGCCACGAAAGAAATTTTAATCAGCTAACTCAACTTTCACTTCAAAGACTAAAAGAGTAATAATAAAAAAATCTTTTATAAGATATTTTGGGCTGAATGAAAGAAAAAGAATACATTAAAATGCAACTTTTGAAGATATAATGTTCATTAAAAGTTCCCGACTAATTAAAGTTCTACAAGAGCATTTTCTGGTAACATTCTTGAGTATTTTCCTGAGTAGAAGCTTTTACAGCTAGAGAGAGAAAAAAAAGCTTCGTCTAATTTTCGTTTCCTGGGAATTAAAGCCGAATTCGCGCGAGCGCGCGACTCATTGAATTAAGCGGGGCGCTAGTATAAAACTTGTTCACTACTGAAGTTGCAATGAAAGCTAGTCGGCAGCTACGCGACACTATGCAGAAAACAGAGAAAAGTTTAGTCTCGTCGGCTAGACGCAAAACAAGCGCTTTATTCACATTGAATCAGGGCGCTGCACGAGATATTTTCATACGAAATGTACAGAAAGAGAGGCTGTTTTATAAGTATAACTAGTACTTCGCATTTTTCGCCCGTTTCAAGATGGAAAACTCATTAATCGTACCTATAGTAAATAAAAGTAGCTGTATACAAGCTCTTTTATTACGAGAGAAATTGAGTCCAGTCTATTATTGACATACACGGAAAAGCAAGTAGAACTTTAATTGACAAATAACTTCTTTAAATTAAAATCCTGAAGAGATACTGTTTTAACAGCTATAAAACCCTCCAAGTTTAAAATGTTACAAATATTTTTCTTTATACTGATTATCGACGATTTATTCTTTTGATATTTATTGATTTCATGACTGCATAAGCATTTTTAAAAAAACTGTAAAAATATGTCGATTCAGTTGATATCGTTTGTTTTGCGTATATATTCCGTATGAATTATTTTTTTCAAACAAAACTTTTTTCCCATTTTTTTCATACTTCTTATAATCTGGTGAAAAATAGGAATCGTAAATTATGTTATAGAAATTGATTTGAAATAAAACATTCATGTTATTTAACTAAAACATAAAACGTATAATCTCAAAACTGATGACCGTTCTATTTTTTTCTCTTACGATCAGGTTTCTAGTTACAAAGTTTCATTTTCTTGCTAGCGTACAGACGAACGTGACCTTTCCCAACAACGTCCGGATTAAAAAATCTGTTACCCCTTGCTGGTTGCCCATTCCGTTCAGTCGAACTAAAATCAATGGCTTCTGATATCTTTTTTAATAAAAAGAAAACGCACTAAAAAAGAAGAAGAAGACAAGAAGAAAGGAGGCGAAGTCATGGTTGGTCCGTAAGGTGATAATGGAAAAAAGTTAAGAGAACGAGTGAGAAAACGAGAGCACAAGACAGAGAGAGAAAGAGAAAGAGAGAGAAAGAGAAAGAGAGAGAGATAGACGTACAGACAGAGAGAGAGAGAGAGACGCGGCGGTAGGGAGGGAAGGGGGTAAGAACGTGATTTAACCGTAAATTCGGGCCCCGCAAACTCAAACGTGCAGTGGAAATAGAATGACTCGTTTCCCAGCGCCGCGTAGCATCAGGAAATCACAGAAGTGTCCTTTGTTCTCATGGCGGGACGCCTCTCGTAATTTTCCCAGCTATACCTTCTCTTATCTATCGACTGCGTGTAGCGTATGTGTAAGTGTGTGATAAGGCACGTGCCATTTGTTTATCAGACCAACCACCACCATCACCACTGGTGCCAAGATATTGTCGTTCCTCTGATAATGAACAGCGTGACGACGCCAATTTTGGCACACCTTGAGTATACGCAGTGCTTGCTCAATCATTGTTTTTGCACATGAGACACTATAATTACATATACTATGTTGGAGAGACGCGCTCATGCATTTAAACCACTGGCAAGAAACATTTTTAACTGAATTCTGCTTCGTGAATCACTACCCAACTTTTCATTCTTCGAATGAATTCCTCCGTTTATTTGCTTTAAAGACTCTTTTCCCAAACGTGTCACAGATTGGAATACATTATTTATTGAATTATTTAACTTTTTGAAATATTAACTTGCCTGGGTAATCTTTTTCTGTATGAAGGATTTTATGGTAAAGCATAATTAACATAAGACATTAAATTAAATTAAAACAAAAATTTATAATTATTTTATGATTTGTGAGTAAAGTAGTGTGGCATAAACACAAGCTATTACGTTAATCTAGCGTTGCACCTGGTAGCGGCCAAACTTTGTACGAAAGTTACTTGCGCTTAACTGTGTCAGTGATTATAATTCCCGCTGATTTAACTGTTTGAGCTGTGTTTCATTTCTTTATATGTACATACAAATTTCAGTTGAATACTTTAATAGTACCGACCACAGTATTTCGAATCACTCTAGAAAACAATTGTTTCGTCGATAACAGTACTTTAGATCAGTTTACAGTTTAAAATGCCTTTAAAACCAATGTTTTACTAAACTTTTTTCTTTCCATTGAACATATCTTATAGCTTTCATCATTACTTGGGTATAAAAAGTGAAAATTGTTAGAAGCGCACGTGAAACTTAAAGTAGCTATTAAATTACTTCCGTATTTTTTTGTTGAATAATAATATATGTTTAATATAATAATAAATAAGCACAATACGGCAAAATCTAACTAGAAAAGTTTTTTTTAATTTAATTTAATTTATGGAAGCTACCCATTCACATAATTAGTGAAGATTTGTCTTTGGACAAAGTTTGTGTAAATTCCATTTGGCTACGCACGCGTGATAGCTTTATAATTATTAGATTGAAAAAAATTTACTTCTAAAACTTTGTAAGCATATACATTATGAAAAATGTCAAAGTTGATGTTCAATTTATTTCCACTTCGAAGCAAGGACTGAATGATTGATTGATTTTTTAACATTGTACATCTGTAAGAGTTAAAGTCAGTTTTGCAAATAGTGTATATCTTGAACATTTTGTTTTTTTAAATTAAGCTTTAAATCAATTTGTATAAGTCATTTAATAATAGCCTGGTTCTTTTTGAAAAAAAGACTGTTGCTGACCACTTTCGAAAATAACTTTGTAGAATCTTTAGCATTGTTTGTAGAGTTGATTTCTTGAGAACTTTGAGCAAATTGGGACTGTGAGTTGATTGGTTTATCTTGGTAAACCATTTTTTCGGTAAATGTAATTACGTTTTCAATTAGTAAATGTTCAAGCAACTGGACCCTAGCGGCACTAGCCGTGTTAAACTCTGGTACAAACTACTTGTAAACACTGATCCAGACAGTAGTCGAAAATACGTCTAACTCGCATGACTATAAGAACCGTACTGTCAACATTTTGTTTTAAAATGAAATCTAAGAGAATTTAATAATCAAAATTGAAAAGACAAACCAATGTTCAAATTGTTACAGAAACGAAAGTCAATAGAAAGATCGATAGAGCTACGGCGAGTAAGTCACGAGAGTACAGGCCGCTACAGGTGCGAAGTATCAGCTGAGGCACCAGCTTTCCACACCGTCTCGAATCACGCGGATATGACCGTAGTTGGTAAGTGTCACATTGTCTATATATATATATATATATATATATATATATATATATATATATATATATATATATATATATATCCACTATCGGATAAGGTGTAGGCCGAGGCTCAATTATCTGATTACTCAATCCTCGACCAATTTGTCCTTATCTGTCGGATCTACCTTTAACAAGCTACTAATGAAAGTGCACAATTAGCGCTTATTCAAGAGCTACCAAGTTTTATGGTTCGTCTATATTCTCCTCTCCTCGTGTTATACGAGACCACTGCATTTTTATCTCGATCTGTATCTTTTGCCCTATCTTTCAGTTCAGAATTGGCATTTTCTTGGTATTTTTGGATCTTTCCTCAAAAGTTGTTGGCATTACTTTTATTTATGTAATCATCAAGTAAATACGTTACAAATAATCACATAAAATGAGTTTAAGTTGATTTTAAAATGTAGAGTAAGTTTACGCCTATGTTCTGTACCAATCGTTTCCTTCTTTCTCTTCCAATTAAAACACGTACTCTGAGTTCAAACCCGTCATTTCACGTACTATTTCCTTCCGTGCTTTTGACGCTAAGTTTTTTTTTGTTTTTGTATCATCACCTTTCACTCGTCGTTCTCGTATGTATAGTCTCGAAGTTCTCATTTTTCTTTATTGTTTCCAACAAACACTCGTTATTTCTTCCACACGAGACTATTAACCGAGATGCCTCGGTACGAGTCTTCCGTGTGTCCATTTTTTACTTTTTTTTATATGTCACCAATCTTCGTGTATCTTATTTACATATTCGATCGATGTATGAATAGATATAGATTGTCAATGTCTGCAGCGTGTGAGTATAATCATTACATTATTTTAGCAAATTTTGAAGTAGCAATTTTTAAGTTACCTTGATTAATATAAATGCATCGCATTATCCAATTAATTAATTTATAATCGTAAAAAGCTTAGTATAGACACCATACATTACAATAAAGTAACTGATTAATTTACATTCTTATTCCTTTGCATAGTGTTACCGGAGCAAGGCCCTAGAATAAGCGGAACCAAGGTAAAATACCAAGCAGGTGACTTGGTACGACTAAACTGTACTTCCGCTCCCTCGAAACCGCCTGCCACATTGATGTGGTATGTCAACGAGGAACCAGTAGGTACCTATTTAATTTAACAAACATTTATTATTCAACTTTATGTGATATACCTAGTGAATGAAATATTTAAGCAATTACTGTAATTCTCACATTAGAAATGTACAACGTTGAAAAATTAATTCAAAGAAAAAGTGAAAAATTATTTTTTTACATGAAAATACATTGTTAATTAGAATTGGAAACTATTTATCTCACTTATTATTGTAACGTGTTGCTTGCTTGTCTTGCTGTATTTTTATTTAAAGCTTTCGCGCGCAAGCTTTAAGTTGCTGACTTAGAAAGCTTTAAAATTTTTGTTAATTTAACGAGGATTATATGTTGACAAACTATATGTTTAAAAGGAAATTTGTTAGCACCAAGTATACAGTAACGTTATTTGTTGGCAGAAATAGAAAAATTATTATGTCAATCTCACAGTTTATATTATTAAAATGGAAAAGTGTGACAGCAATTTTCATATAATACGGATTTTCTCGAAAGTAAAGCATTCATATTTATAAGTTACGGAAGGTTTTACTATATACGAGTTAAGAGTATACTTGGATATTTGAGATTAAATACTGTGTTACATCTAACATTTAAATTTTCATTATTTTATAATGAATCAAAGGCTATCAAAAACGAGAACATGGAAATATATCGTATTAAGTTTTTTATTCAAACTTCTACTTCAGATTGATATAAAATTGATAGATTTTCAATTATTTGAATAATCATATACATACTTTCTTTTGCTTCAGTTATATGGATTTCATATCTCTGTATCTTATCATGATACCAGCATGTTATTTTTTATTATCTGTAAATACCATTTTGATAATCATAATATTTTCTACATAAAATTTGAATTTTCAAGATATTATACGGGAGTATTTTTTTAAGGATTTTGTAAGATCACAGTTCATCTTCATGAATATGTGAACGAAAACATATTGAAATACATTAACGTTTCAAAAAAATTTACATTATAAATATTACGTAGCTTATCATACTGTTTTTGATTTAAAAAAGAAAAAGTTCCAAATTGGACTTGATTTTTTATGTACGTTCGTTCATTCCTCTGGAACAGTTTAATCGATTTCAATGGGAGTATGTTCATTTGAAAATATATACTTTTGAGGTCTTACAGTCTCGTTTTATTTTGATAATTTGAAGTATAAAACATTTGAATTTGTTATTTTTTTTAAATGAATCTTATTCCATCAATCAACGTAAGCACGTACAACGATCTATTGGTATGGATCTATGTCGCATCCTGACGGCACCTGTCCTAATTTCTACTTTCTTTGACGGATGCGATTTTCTTTATGTAAAGAAGAGGGAGATACGTGACGTTAATCCTAGAAGTAATATGAGACCGAGCAAAGTGTCAACTTTATAAATCAATGTACGACTCTTGGAGCTTCATGAACTTCTTCACCGCTACCTGATGAATTCTTATATAAATAAGAGCAAGAATAATAAAAGTATAATTTAAAATAATGTTTATTTTTCAGTTAGCTTAAAATGCTTCTCTTGTTATAATAAAGATTTTAACTAAAAAATTATTTATTTGGATTCATTAATAATCTTTTATATCAAGAGAAATTCTATTAGTACGGGACTCCTAGACCGATCAATAAGAGATAAGGAATAATTGAAATGAACTGGGATACGATAGTATAAACTAAATGAAGAACGCTTAAGATAGTGTGCTATGTTAGTCTCGGAAAAATGTAGCAATATACTTTTGAGTTCCAAATTTCAAATAAGAATAATAATACAAATAAAAATAATAATAATAATAATAGTAATAATAATAATAATAATAATAATAATAATAATAATAATAATAATAATAATAATAATAATAATAATAATAATAATAATAATAATAATAACAGAAAAATGGAAATTGTAATAAATAAAAAAATTGAGTATGTAGTTTAATTTAATTTTTTCAATTATTTAATTTTTAATTTTTAAATATTTTGACCACAAATATAATTGAAAAAATTTTTATATGAATAATTGTTCGATTAATAAATGGAATTTAATTTTGAGATACAATCGCAATATCATCCGGTATCCTTCCATGCGTTATATATTTCTTGTTCATAGAAGCTTATGAAAAAATAAACAAGTCAAAACTAAGTGATCGACTCGATACAAAAATTTCTAGCATGTGCAGCAGTGAAAAACGTTGGTCTATATTAAAAGCATTAGGTCACATGTGCGTATAAAGTTTATAGACCACGTGAAGCTTTATAAAGGAGTCACAGGAAGGCTTTTAATCCTATAGATGAGGTTTACTATGAAGATATATATATATATAAATATATATATACATATATATATATATATATATATATATATATATATATATATATATATATATATATATATATATATATATATAACTGAGGTGAAATTTTGCGACAAAATCAATGCATTCTCAATCGTCAACGTTGCTTTTCAATTTCTAACTGGTTTGATTGTTTTTAACTTACTGGTTTGATTGAAAGTGGATTTTTTTGCACCGATAAGGAAATCGTAGTTTTTTTCCTTCGCGACTACTCTTTCAACTTTATTTTACAAAGTTTCGAGAAATTTATTCCACAAATTAGTGTATTATTAACTTGCTAAATGAGAAAAGAAGGAAAATAATCCGTTGATTTCAGGTGGATAGTAAACATCTAAAAGGGCCGCATAATATAAGCGTAGACGCGGGCGGGTTAAGTTCATCACAGCTTGGATTGGAGTTCCGCTTGTCAGCGAAGCACTTTCGCCGAGGCGATATGAAGCTGAAGTGCTTGGCGACGATTTCGTCGCTCTATTTACGTAGCGACGAGCACCGTGTTGCCGGGGACGAGCGATTTCTCAAGCAGCCAATGGAAAGTCGTGAGACCCGTGCACAGAGCCACACAAGGAACGCCAGCTCCTCCCAAGGTATATACCCAGGTTAAGCCTCTTACGTACACGGCCAATTCTTCTGTTTGCTTTACACCAAGTTTGCTTTACTGATTCGACGCCAAGGGAAATCTTTTTGCCTGCTACGCGCTTTTGTTCTCTCTCACTCTTTCGTCGCCTTTACTGCTGCCACTAGAAAGCTTTTCACTTTGCACCAGCAAAATCTCGTTGGACTAGTAATTTCTTTTTGCTACAAAGAACAGTGTTTCTTTGCTGCTGCGGCTTGAATTTGAGTTTTGTATAAGCTTCTTTCACTTGACGTTTACAACGTCAACGCTACTCTGGATTAAGCGTTCGCTTTTGATTTGTAGTTCAACTCTTGGCAAATGGGAATTACACTTTTTCAAAGTCAATATAACTGTCAACCAATCGTGGACCTTTTGTTTTTTTCATAGTTAATGAAATTCTACTTAATGATATCGCAAGGAGAAAACCACTGACATTTTAGTCTACACGTAACAAAGTTGTCGATATTACTGAAATATACATTTTTTTAATAGTTTAACTTCATTTTATGGAGAAATGGTTTGCCATTGGAAAAACTATGATATTTTTTGATATGGTAACGGTTATAAACTTGTGTAGCTGTATCTACCTGAGAAAAGCTAGGGAGAAAAAGCAAACTAAGCGAGGTAAAAAATAACCCTCCCGCATTAGACTATAGCATAATATTTTTCTGTACGAGGAGTGGAAAAGTCAATTTAGAATGCATGCTACGTTTTGAGCGTGCGGAAAGTACACATTTCTGCACCAAGTGCAGAACATATTTTTTTTCACCATGCGTTAAATTATGTGTTATTGCATAAAGGCAGCTATGTACCACTCTGTAGTATATATACAAGCTAGAAAAAGAAGTTAAAAAATAATTATAGGGTGTCTAAATGCCATACCGCTATCATTGTTCACTTATAAAATAGATTAAAGTTAATTAACCGTAACTCACGAACATCGTGGTGGATAAATTTCAAATTTTACACGGATATTTAATGTCATATTTGCTGAATATCTCAAAGTTTGAATCGATTATTGAAATTTTATGTTTTGGTTTAGAGCAATCACAATACCTTTAGGTTTGTTCAATCTCTTATGAATATTTTACTTTGTCTTTAGTTTTTTAATATATTTTTTTAATACACGATTTCCTAATAGATACGTGAAGGTATTTATTACATTGTAAAATGTCAAAAAGGCTTAAACTGTAGAATTGCAACATTGAGAGATTAGTAGTGTTATCAAAATATTAACTTTTAACCAAAGAAAATCAAAAAAAGTTTTCTGTTGTAAGAAATTTTTTAATTTTAGACACATTTTTTTAGGTCGGATAGAAATTACATCAGTAACCTTCCTTAAATTACTTTTATAATTAGTTGTATTAAATGCATAGCAGTGCATGAACAATAAAATTTTATTTATGTACTTTTCAAATTAAAAATATCTACTGACATCGTATTTTTCTGGTTGTTATGTGTTCACAGGACCTGAAATATCTTCAATTTTATTAGTGATCATTTTAACTACTTTATCGGCATTTATGACTTGTACATTGATACGGTAACATTAAATGAGTATGGAATATCGGAAAAGGAGGAAATTAATTAAGAAGAAAAAAGTATAAAAAGCATTGGACACTGTAAGCATAAATGAGTGCTGTATATCAATGCTCGAAATTGTACATAAATATACAAATACTAGACATCAATTCGAGCGAAATTTTCGTTGAGCTGTTACTCGATTTTATGGTTTTCATAGCCGTTCCCATTCAATGCACTGCTACAGATGAACGACTCTCATGAATGGTAAATGAAAAGAAAGTATTTACCAAGGATATTCATGATATAAGTGTAGATAAAAACTTTCATTTGTACTTGTACAATCGAATTTAAAATGAGACTTTTTGGTCCTAGTTTCTACATTGATACGATAAAGAAAGTGAATAGTATCAGAATGTTGAAAGTGTAAAATGTTTGTTTTAATGCTCCGCAATCTTAAGTTCCTTCGTTACTTTCAAAGCTTCAAGAATATAGACGTTTATTGATATTTTTTGATAAATACTATGGCAACACGTACAAAACACAGCGTATAGATTGAGTGAGATAAAAGAATTTTTTTTCAAAGTAAGTATCTCGCTTTGTATACATAGGGAACATTGGCATACATTGTATGATAATTTAGGACGATTGACATGGCTTTCATCTCCTTGAAAATTATTGAAAATTATTAATAGTAAACCGAAGACTTATATAAGATATTTTAGTGATTTGGAATCGTATACGGATGAACATAAGATGGATAATTCATTTGATTATCATATCTTAACCCATTGCAACAATCTAAGAAGAACTCAACTTTCACAATAAACTTGTTACAGTAGTATTGCTCTCGGATATTTTCATGGTAAACTTATTACGAACAACTTTCTCAAATAGACATAATAGAATTTCTAATGAATATTCTATATCTATATATCTAACCTATATCCATAAAGCATGAATACATTTGGTTATGAAATTCGTACTCTGTAAACTTTGTAGTCAAGCTCTTAAGTCTATTATCATTTTCTTTCGCTTGCCAAAATCTATAGACAAGATAACTATTTGTTATACTTACCATTTATTCCATTAACTTAATATCATCAATTAAAGACTGTTGATACCATACATAAGTTTTATTCATATTGGAAAATAAGTCAAAAGCTATTATAAATATTGCTTGGTAATTATTAATGTTAATTAAGTACGTATTGTATTCCGAAGTACACTTTTTTGGTTTATTCACATTCTTTCAGAAGTTAATATTAATTCTTAAATAATTTTTGTTTATGATTTTTTATCTAATTATAGTTCTAATATTATTTAAAACGTTTTCTATACATTGATGGTTATCAAATTGTTAATCATGTGATTCCGAAATCGTGTATATTATTAGTTTGTCAATCGCCTGTACGTATTACTTTAATCAATATTATAAAGTAGCGGCCAGATGTCCAAGGTACAGTGTGATAAGGTGAAAATATGTTATAATATCATACTCATAAAGGTGATCGTATTATAATCTCAAATGTAAAGCTATAAATATGAATAAATGTTTTATATTTTCATGTAACATGCACTTTATATAATTATTATTTGTGATAATTAAACATTTCAAAGCCTAAATCAACGAGTGAATTCACAGATTACGGATAAATAATTGACTGACATTGTTAGGTTAAATATACATTTCTTCAATTACACTGTTTCCAATATTGGTTTTGCCGACCTTATCAAGCTCGTTATTTTAGCAAACATATTAGAATATAAATATTTGAATTATTAAAACAATATTGACTAATAATTAAATTAGTTATATATTATATTTAAAGTGTACTTAAATTGACTAGGTCTGTTAATCTTTATTTTATTAAAGATAAATATAAACAAGTTAATTGCTGATGTACATTGAATATTTAGCTATTAGAAATGGAAGTCCTTCATTTGAAACGAATTTGCTGTTTTATATTTTTAATATACTTTTGTACAGAATCAATGTAAAGATTTTTACTGGCAAATTTATGATTCAGTAAAAATTAACATAAATTTTGTTTATATTATATATACAAATCTTTCATTTCGGTTTCGACTATGTTATGTTTAGGAATCATTAATCAGAAAAAGATTTTATGGAATTATTTTGTTTCTAATAATAATAATTCTATACAGATATTTATATCAACAAAATGATTCATTTAGACCAGTTGGAAACTATTTATTGCAAGTTTACGTTCATTAATATAATGCTAATGATTAAGTTTAATGAGTTTGTGGGTCTGTTGGCGCGCGGATATAAAATGAATAAATTTTTAGTGTAAGTATGGCTTGCATTAATTTCCATGTTAATAAGCCGATTTTTCAATAATATGCATTCTCGCGAATTTGGAAAACGAAAATATAAAGGATGAATGGATGAGAAGTGGTGGCGGTGAGCGAGCAGGATTGAAAAGAGATAGCATATACCCGAGTTCATAATGCACACCCGAGTTCTAATCTACGATATTTGGAGGCTTTATTACGAATTCAATTTTCCACTCTCTCATGCAATCTGTTCAGAGCCACAATTTAAATGCGCGATATTGTGCGTGCGTATGAATAATTATAATGCGCTGCCGAGTGAAAGGATTATGGCTGCGAGTTACTCGATAACCAGCTTATCACTGAATTTGAAATTCAATTTACACTCCCTTTTTTACCTTCACTGATATCTTTGGTTCAATCACAACTACATTCTATAAACATCATTTTCATTAATTTATTAATTAATTTACTTTTATTCTACTGTTGAAAGCTCTTCATCGATGAAGAGATAGTAAAAAAGAGATTTAGAGAATTGATTTAAGCTCTTTTCAGTACAAAACTTTTAGTTTTATGTTAATCATTTGACCAGTTTATGAAAATTAACAGACAAAAGAACATACGACTTAACATCAATGAAACAAGCCATTGTTTTGTACACTATATTATAAAGTGTCTAAAACAGTTCCACTAGAATCCTGATAATTCTGATTGAAGAATGCAATCAGATTTTGATACGGAGGCCTTTTTAGTAACTCGTGAATATCTCACGTGACGACGGCCATTACATGCACCCGCTCACGCGCCTGGCAGGGAGAAGAGCGAGGATAGAGGAAGCAAGATAAAGCGATTTATTAAAGCTTTGCCCAGATAGCTCTTATCTGCTATTAGGTGATGTAATAACCACAAACCGAACTTTGTTAAACACTATTTCGGTTTCTGGCTTTAGAATATTAGTCCGCTTTCCGTGCGTTCTACAAAGATTCTTTTGATTTAGAGAAAATGTTCAATAATAATATCAAATAACTTGTTCATTGAGAATATCTTCATTAAGTTTATCAAACACTTGGAAGCAAATAGAGAGAGAATTTTCTCAGCCTCAAACAATCTATACTTTTCTAGGGCGCAGGTTTAATTTCTACTTACTGTTCATCATAGCAGTTCTTTGTTCCATTTAATCGGGTACTTTGGTCTCAGATCTTATGGCTCTTCTATTTTTTATACATCTTGATAATATCGAGGGATTTATCAAGAAAAAGAAAGTGCAAGTTGCGATTTGGAAGATATGTTTGCCAATGATGTGATGATAAATATTGATTTTCCCAAAGATTGGAATTTCTTCTTCTTGTGAAGAGTTGTAAAAGACATTCAGAAAATACTACAAATTATTGGAATTTTTTAGAAAATTACCAATGTAATATACTTTATAAATCAGGTCACATAGAATGAACATTTGTATACGTTTTTAAGAATAGTCGCTCTTGTTACAAAACAACTTTAACTGCGAAAAGACCGTTTCATTCACTGTAATGAAGTTCAAGAAAAAATTAAATAGTTGGCTGAAGACTTCAGATAACCATCAGCGTTGATTTGCAAGTCGTTTCTTACCCATTGAGTGGTTCAGCTTTGGCAAATATCCCTTCAACTGTATTTTAAATCTACTCTGCTATCGAATTAAGATAAGATTGCCGGTAATCTAATGCTCTGCAGACGTAACGTAGCAAGCGAAGTCGAAGTCATTATCGTAATCGCGTTTAAAACTTACCGCGCGTTTTTCCCCTGAGGCACGTCTAAAAATCGATCAATTCGTTTGATGAAGGATATTGGATATTACAGCGAATGTAAAACGATGTCCGCATCTCGAAAGTTTCTTTCTAAACTTTACAATATATTTCTTTTCCAAATAACGACCTTCAAATTTCAATTGAGAAAAAGTGATGACTTTTTACTACTAGATTCTGAAAAATAAAATGCAATAGCGAGATAATAAATCAATAAATTATATACTCATATTGATTTTTCAAAAGTACTTTAATTATAAAAAAAGATTAAGTTGAGAATTCATTTGCAAATAGCAAATGCAACAGTAAGCTCGTAGCTCCGTACGCAGTTAATTTGAAAAACAGAAGTAAGCCTAGAGAAAAGGAAGTTATTGTGCTTACACACGTGAAAAGGGGCCGCGTAAAGATAAGTACGTGAAAATTAAAATTAGTTTACGCGCGTTATTCCGGTCCTCCAGTTGCTGCTGCTGCTGCTGCTACTGCTCTCCCGAGCACTTGCGGCCTTCGTATTCGTTTCCATTTTCGTTAGTTGTACGCGCGGCGGTGGTCCGCCCATGCGCTTCCAACCACTCTTATCCGCCCTTAATTCCCTTTTCTCTCGCACCAGGCCGCGCTATACCAAATTAAGCAATTTTCTTCATTTATTTTTTTATCCTTCGGAAGATCCTTTCGCTCGCTTTCTCTCATCTAACGAGTTGCTGCTGCGCAAGCTTACACGAAAAAAAGACTGGCAGCTCCTGCATTTACGCGCGACAATAAATCCCGGGCTGCGCTCGTCAAGTGGAGTTTAGATGCAATTACTGGCCAAATTGGCCGTTTGCACGCTAAAAAAAGATCGATTCTGTCTCCACCTATTTTAGTTTCCAAGTACCTGGCTGCTGCTGCTACTTTCGTCTTTTATTTTTCGTGCAAAATAACGGCTAACAAAGGCAGCGGGAGAGCGAGAGATCATGCGATCTCGACCCCTGTGTGCTTTCTGATCTTATGCATACGCTTTTGTTTTGGAGAAATTCATGTAAATTTTTGTACGTGTCTTTATAAAAGATTAGAACTACGTTATTGAATTTTCATTGTTGCCCGTTGAATACTTTAGCGCTAACACAATCGCACTGCTATCGTTATACAAGCGAGTTTCAACGAAATTGAACTCTATTCATGCCAAAAAGTAAAGTATGTCAACAATGAATGAGAGATTTATCCCATCAAGATTCGTCCCACTTGCTCAGCGCGCGCGTTCCTCTCTCCCATACAATAAAACTGCCAACGTATACAAATTCAAGGTAGAGCGTTTCGATTTGACAATAGCCCGCACAATAGATAGACCATCAGATTCATTTCCGATTTTCTCAACCATCGTCGTCGTCGCACCGATTACGCAAGCAATGCATTGTGCACACCTCTCAATCTCTCTTTCGCTCGCTCACTCCCTTTTCACTCGAATTCCCGAAGGCGATATTGAGCATTAGAGACTTTCCACATTCTCCCAGTGGGTTGCGCTATGTGTGCTTGATTTTAAGAAACTTTTTCTTTTTTTTTTTTCGTTTACGGCTCTTTCTTTTCATTCCATTCGGCGCTGCCGCTGCTCCTTTTGCTCCTTCATTTTTATTCAACCTTTATGACTGCCAGCGGCGTTAGTCGTACTGCCATCTCCTCTTCTTCTACCCTTGATGCCGGCAATTTCTAGGTACGCGAACTACTTTTCTCACTACTGCGGCCGTAGCAACCACCGTTTTTTCTACAGTTGCCAACTTTTCGAACGTTGTCACTCGAGTACTCTGCCTGCGTGGGAAAAATCACCAAAGGACCAATCTAATGGATAGATTAAGCTTTCTTTTAATTTAGTTGGATTGATTTATTTTTTTTTTATTTTCTTTTATACCTGTGATATACCATGTGAGTGATGAACTATACGTTGGATTTATAGTGGTTGACGCGCATATAAAAGTTTTCCTTTTTATATGCGCACCGTGTGCGGGTATTATATCAGTAGAAAGGGAACTTTGCGTGAGAAAATTTACTTTCTTTGTTCGGATGCTTTATGTACTTTCTTTATACTTTTGTAAACGTGCTGCAGAGCGAAGCGCAGTCTATTTGTTTGTCGATTAATCATTGGTGAGAAGTGTTTTCGAACATCACTCATAATAAAAGCCATTTATCCTACTCTTGAATATCTTCTTCATTATTAAATATCTCAATCCATTACGTGCTTTCATTCTCGCACGCTCGTTCTCTTTTCTTCACTTCATTACGTAGTGTCCTTCAAGCTCGCGGAAAAAGAAAAAAGATTGTGCAAATTTGAACGGGTCTCCGGCCGGAGAGCGCGCGCGTACAACGACTGAATTTTTACAGAGTGTGAAGCGAGGCGCGATTTAGAGGACTATGCCCTCTCCGACGTGCCGCCGCACGTTTCAAACCTCCCTGCATTTCTCTCAAATATCCACAGCGTACACATGAG